CTTTAAAAAAAAATAGAACAATCGTTGACTCGCCAATGAGGCTAGCCGTTAAATATGTGTGAACATATTTAGCTAAAAAGAAAAGAAAAATCAAGCATGTTTTTGATTTTTGGGCTTGTCGCCGCATTTATTCTAAATTTAATTTTTTTGTCCTACTACTCTAGCCGCAGGCGCCTGTGCACCGCGGACCAGGTCCCACTCTCCAGTCGCCTGCTTGTGGGGGGTTGTATGACCCTGTTAGGGTATCTTCAGAAATGAACCGCTGTCCAATGTCAGAGCCCCTGCCAGCATGGTCCCTCGAGCCCTCTACTAGCTCTCTACTCTCTAGTAGAGATAGAGAGGGAGAGAGTAGCAGCCTAACAGGCTGATAAATTGTGCGGGTCTGGTATATTTACTAAAGAACTGCCCTGATAATTAGTGCCACCTTTTGCTATACAAAGTGGACCAATATCACCAGTGTATGTATATGATAAACCTGAACTTGTATTAAAAAAATACTCTTGAGTCACTCTCTCTACTAATCTTACTACATACACAGATTGTTCAAAGGAGTACTCATTCAAATCTGCCAATCTCGTATTTTTTTAAATAGAAAGCACTATAGCTAGAGTAAGAAAAATACTATAAAAACAAAAACAAAAGCAATACTGAAAATTCAAAATTCATGACCTTGTCTGATGTGAATGTCTCAGACTCTTTAGCAGAGTGGAGACTGGAGAGTGAGGAGACTCAGCAGACACACGAGAGTCCCAGACTCCCCTAACACCTCTAACTCCCCTGACTCCTTTCTGTCGCGAGTAATGACTCTTTTCGACCCTCGGCCCTCGGCCCTCGCGCCAGCCGCCAGTCGCTATGGCACATGGTCACCTTGACAGAAAGAATTCTTAGAATTATATATATTTAGCTATGTTTGTATTTACAAACGTGCCACACATATATTTATTTTTATATGTACAAACTGTAAGACTACAGACGTCAGAAATATATGGGCTATTAGTCAAACTACTAAAAATGGTAGCGTTCAAACTTTCTGGTGGTCGACTGTCTTCTCTAAAGTAGTATATACTATTGTTTTGTTTAAAACAAAAAAGACAAAAAAAAATACTACATGGTAGTAGTTTTCTAAAAATAAAAAAAATAAAGCAATACATACATATTTTAGAAATACTGGTTTTTTTTATCACAAAACAAAAACAGGTGCGAGACTAATTTAAAGTCGAGATTCGAGAGTGCAGGTGTCCCGTGCCGACTCACTGTCGTCGGGGCCTCGGGGCTCTCGGGGCTCTCGGGCCTCGGTCCCTCGCGGGGTCATTGACTCGAAAGTCGAAACTGAGAGGTCGAGAACTCGAGAGTCAAGGACTCGTGTTTGAGTTGTATGTTAAATACATTTCTAACACTTGCCAGATCCGCATTCTCGTACACGCACAGTCGCACAGCACTCGCAGCTAGAGTAGTCGTGCATTGTTAAAATAAGTTAATGCTATTATTATTTCTTCCTTTCTTTTCATAAAATGTTACAAATCGAAATATTTGCGTTTAGTGATATTGAAAATCGATAAACAAACTGAGATAAGTAGTGACCCATAGCCGAGCCGGGCCATAGGCCATAGCCTTCTCTTGTATAGAAATTCTTAAAAAAAGGCTATGTATGAGTCGAGTTATTATTTTACGAATTGGTGATTTGCACGATATAGATATTCAGTCTAAGGACTTCAGGTAATAACTGATTCAGTATAAATTGACGCGCTACTCGTTCAAAATCGTCACATCCGCACATAATACTAAGCTAAGCAAATTAACTCAGAATGAAATTGATTCTTGTACTTGCTGCCGCGTGCAGTGCCGTTTCGGCCATGAACCTCCGTCAGGTAGTTCCCAGTAGCGCTCCCGGACCCGGGAGACAGCCCATTACTTGCGCCGAGAAGGATGCGTTTAACCAGATCTGTTCCAGCGTCGGTAAGGTCCCTACGGATACCGGGTTTGAGTGCTGCCAATGGAGTAACCAGTGTGGCCCTGGTATCCCCAAGTGCTTGGAGCGCAACTGTTGCCAAGCGGCGGGACCTGGAACTGGACCCCCTACCCCACCCCAACCCGAAAACCCAATCGAACTTCCCGATCATGTGATGACTTGTGAAACAAAGCTCGCGGTCAACGTGGATGCATTCGAGTGTGATGTTGGGTCTAGGGTGCGAACTGATGATTTCCTGTGCTGCCAATGGACCCCTCGCCCCGAGGGAGCCACCAGCAGGTGTGCACCTTTCGGAGCCACCGTTAAGTGTCTTGAAAGAACTTGTTGTGTAAGAGACGACGACGACGAGTAAATCTTCGGAAAGCTGGATACAAAATGATTTCTGGATGATATTTACTGCGTTCGTTCACAACGGTAAACGTTCGTCAACAAAAGTAGACACAGGCTGGTAGAAGGTGCTTTATGTCAAAGCACGATATTCGGCGTACGACGGCTAATATTGAACTTTATAGTGCGGACGTGCATCATAAACGGTATTATGGAAGTCGGTGACGGATTCATGAACTTTCATAGTTGCGATGAATAAATTTCAATCTCTTGCCATATTTTCAAGCGATTTTAAACCTTTTTTTCTAATACTTCATATCTTTGATATTATATTGCTTGTTTAGTTTAAACCTGTAGCATCTATTCTATAAACTCAATACTGTCATAAGAAACTGTGATAATTCGAAGCATGATAATATAACGTCAGCAGCATTTTATTGCAAGTATTGAAGTATATGCGCAAAAAATTAAAGATACAAAATAATACCCCGATCTGGGGGTATCCGCTGTCTATATAAAACATGCCCATGCTGCTATATATGCACTTTCATACCTAATTGAAACTATGTGAAATGTTAACATGTGTCTTGATAGATTAGGACTACGGGGTACTTTAAATACAAACCCGCCATATAAATCACGTAAATATAAATAAAAAAGAATTTTTAGAAAGACTGTTTACATTATTAGGCAGTTCGGATGTGCTACTTTGGTTTAGGCCCCCCCCCCCCCCCTGCTTCAGGTGTATTTTCGACATATATGGGCCAGTTTTGGACTGCCACACTCAAAATCATAGCTCTGTAAATTATACATTTACATAAAATATGGACAAAGTTCTGAGTTCGGTATTCAAAACTGATGACTATAAGTATAGGGGCTTTCCGTTGTTGTCTTCGTTTTTGGCGAATTTGGGAAAACCCTCTCCGGTGGCTAAACCAAAGAAGCACATCCGAACCGCCTTTAAAAAAAGCAGCTCGTGATATGAATTCGAGGTTACTCACAGCCTTCACAGGCTCACTAAAGCCTGAGAGTTTCGTCCTCTTGTTTTTTTTGTTGCAAACAGCATGTTATAATTTATTTAGCAGTCACTTTTTTTTTCATGATGATATTGTGATATGTACACATTGTAACACGTAATAGAAAAAAAACTAAGGCCAAGTACATATGTACGGTGAAGAGTGATGAGTGGGGACAGGATATGACGGGACAGGACACCGGAACCCGGGGAGGGATCCCCAACGGGGTAGATCCTAGACCTCCAGCAATTAATATTCGTGAAGTAAATCAAGATAAAATCAGAGTCTTGGAAATATCTCGATTTGTGACAGATTTTTTTCTTCTCCTGTTAACTCTATGAATAGAAATAGCCTTATCTAAAATTTTCAGGTAACGACTTTTTTTATTGATGACTGACCTAACGTGAATAAGTTATACGTAATGTAAATAAAAGTTGAACGTTAACCGTTATTTTTTAAATTTTTAAACGGGTTCTTTTATAGGCTCAAAAATATATGGTCGAAATTGTGGATTTTGCACTTCAGAACTGTACCTATATACAACGAAATGGGCTATTAAACTAAAATTAACCAATGAAAGTGTAATGAACGGTTGCAATGACACCTGACATTAAATTAATGGCGGGAAAAATGTGAAATGACACAAGTGGCGCGAATATTTAGGACAATATATTTGACCTGACAACCTGCACCTGATTTGAGTCAAAATATGCATCAGTTATAAAAGTTGACCGTTAACCGCTATACATTCTGGATAAATCTTGAAACCACCATAAATAGAGCCCCCTACACTTCCCACCTACGAAAAATATATGTGTTAGCCAATCACTGGGTCCCAATCAATATTTTTTTTAGAATCGTACGTGGCGTGTGTATGTGGCTCTATTTATGGTGGTTTCAAGATTTATCCACAGTGTTTTTTTGTCAGTCTCACTCTTATCATAAACAAATATGTCTTTATTTACTACTTTCAGAGTAGTCTGAGGCGAGAGAGAGTTTATCCAGCTCTAAAATCTCAAATCTGAATGAGTCTCTGACTCAGTCTGACACTCACTATGTACAACATTTGTATATAATATCTTAATAAGACCGTCAGTCCGTCGCTGACGGACGACGTCACGACGGCCAGCTTGACATTTCCCTGTGAGTGAGTGTGTGAGGGCTGAGGGGTGAGGCCAATGAGAGCCTGAGGCCCTGAGTCCTGATTCACTCCGCAGGGCTCAGATGACTCGATAAGTCAGACCTTGAGGCCCGAGCCTTGAGAGCTGAGCTGGAGCATAGCTGCATAAAAGTCATAACTCACAACCGATAACGCTGAATTATGAAAGTCTTTACGCATACCGTTTTCATTTTGGTGCTTCCAAAACGACAATTTCATTTTTCTTCTTCAGGAACTGTTCCAAATAGATCAACAAATGACAAATACGCATTGGACCGGATCCAAAAAAGCTCATTATATATATCAGGTAGTCGCCCATATATTGGCAGATAGAGTTGGGTGGTATATGCCAATATATTGGCGGGCTCCATCGCCAAGGTCATGTATCGTACGAAAACGTGTCCCGTTTACCGCTAACGCAATGTTTTGAAAACGTGTTTACGCTTAACGTAATGAACTATGCAGTCTGGAGTCTCTCTCTCTCTCTACATAGAGAGTCTGCAGTTCTGCACTCTCTACTAGTCTGTCTCTGGTCCCTGACGACTCTTGTGAGTCTTGATGAGTGTTGACTGTTGAGTGTAGAACTGTGTGTAGATGAATCACTATTGATCCGTGATTCATCAGTGATCACTTATCAGTGATCAGTCACTCAGAGTCCCAGGCAAGACCGAACTTATTTACTCTGGTTCATCTACGGGGACCAAACTGGCCGAGATCCCAGATCTGAAGATATATATGTCGATGCATATAAATAAATCAAACGTCTCACACCAAACGGCCAAAGGCTCAAACTCTAGAGAGTCGAGACTCAAGACAGATAAGTATTTAAAGGAGGCCCGTCTCTCTCATGTCTCAGCATACCAGCAAGTTTCCAGGCTCCAGAAAGTAAACAAAACAACAAAACATCTCACTCCATAGAAATATGCCCGGGTTAGTAAAATCAACAATGTGTCTAATGGCTTTCGTCTCAATTATTTACGAAGTGGCGGGCGCCTCTGCGATTGATAGACGAGAAGGGACAGTGAGCGATACGACAGAAGACACAAGTACGTGCGGTACCACCGTTACAAACACGAGCTCGGGTGACGTGTGGTGTTGTGATACGACACTGATTACTAGCAGCGGCACCACTAAATGTTATCAATCTGATGCGTACTACAGTGGCGATTGTAGTATAGAATATATACAAAATCAAGATACCCGCTACTGCCTGGTCGCGACTCAGGACGCAGAAACGGACGACAACTATGACACACCCAATACGGATACATGTAGTATCAAGGTGGGCACGTGTACTATCAACCAAACGTGGGATGACAATGGCGATTTTTCGAAGTCGGCAACATACAGCGGTGTGGACTACACTTTCAACTATTACGGTTGCACCTGCCTTGCGGACGGTACAGGGTATGGGTGCGCGTCTGTCGAAACTCTCACAAATGGAGTACTTTCATCAACGCAAGTAAACGCTGCAACGACGTGCTAGTTCATCAACTTGGAAGGAATGAACTCATAGTCACAGTGATCCGTCAAAACAATATACATCCTTCAACCAAATTTTGTAAAGGAAAAACAAAACTGACACGCCAACAAGGGAAATAAAGAAAAGGATGAAAAATATTTGATTCACGAGTTGACGTAGCAATTTTAAAAAGTCACAACGTGAGAAAAAAAAAAGCCAAAGTCCGCTCCATGCCCTTCATTTACGTTCACAGCTTCGTTTACGTCTCGTGGTTGTATTAGTACGAAGTCTTCACTATGTCAAAAGAGAGAGAGAAGTACAGTGAACAATTCAAACAAAAGTTCATATACGCGGCCACATGAGCATACATTGGTACATATAAAAAAAACATATACATATACATATACGTATACATACGTACATACATG